AAACCACCCGAGCGAGTACGGATGAAATTGGAGAAAATGTGTCAGTCTCTGAGATTTTTTTAATCTGTTTCATTTCATTAGTATCCACATTCAGTTGGATTATTGCCTCAGGATTTAGACTAAGTGAGAACCACGCAAGAACTCCCTGGCCCTGCAAAAGGACGTCCGGTGTCTGGAATCGGGGAATGTCTCGGGTGTTTAAATCATGTCATGTTGCCTCGGCAAGTTACGCCAGTGACTCAGAGTCACAGTAAGGAGGGGGGAGGGATGGTGGCGGGAAGGGGCAAGGGGGAATAGACACACCTACAGCAACACTCCCATAAAAACAGACTTGCTATAGCCAATGTTGTGGTACTCATCAATCACTCGTCTGAAATTTGTTGAATATCCTTCAGTTTTTGTTACTCATCTTTGCACTAGAATCAACCTACTTTTTCCAACTCCTCCCCATGTACATTCTCAAAACCTAACCCTATGCATTATGCTTATGCCCGTGTAGATTGTTCTCATCTTCACATCCGAACAATAGCCAAGCATAACACTACTTGGATGGGGCTGCCATGGTTTACAGTGGACTAGCTCAACAACTCCCTGGATTCAGTTCAACAGTCTTTACAGTTCTCAAGACCGTAAGAAAAAAACCACCCCAAAACAAATTTCCCAGCCCTGGCCAAAAGCGTGAGAGATTTCAAGTGGGTGGCAGAAGAGGTTCTTAGTCACACTTGAGGCCCCCATTCCCAGGGATGCTTAAGCAAACTCTCAACAACAAACAACCTCCTAAAGGAATCTTCAATCTGGAAAACCTGGATCCTGTAAGATTTTGAGAGTCACAAGGTCCTATCGGCTGAAGAGTTTTAAGTCAGTTGAAAGAAAACTGAGAAATCGGGATTTGGGGTATATGTACTTTGCACATTTGGGAAGTGGTTGTCTTGTGATATTTTCACAGAAACAGAATAACAATGTTCGGAAAAGTAACTTTTTTTGTCAGAAATGTGGGTTTATCAGTGCACTTTTATAAGTAACTCACAAACTCATTCCAAAGTTCTTATGTAACCCTTCATGGCTAAAGAATGCTTGGCTAAACGGAATCTATTTGACGGCATTCCTACGTGGAAAACAAATCTTAGGTTATCAAACTCGCCCCCAACAATCCACAACTCAAACTTCCCTTCTGTTTACGTTTTCTTTTGGAGTTACAGAAGGTCCAAGGCAATTTTCAGCTTTGCAACATTCCTGGCTATAAAAGATCCTCAGTCCAATAGCCGGCGTCGGCTCCAGAACCGTTTTAGTACCTCATGGCACAAGTCATGCGTGTAAGTCTTCTCTTGTTTGCCTCAACGAAACAAAGGGGGGAAAAAAAAAACTTCGCCATGCCAGATTGACAAACGGCATTCTTTCGGCTCTTTTGGCGCAAACAGATAACTGCAGATTGAAGAATTGGCAGACGGCGCAGTCGCGCAAGAGGAGACAATCTTTTTCTTTTTTTTGGTTACAAAAGGCACGCCAAATCACAGGGGGCCAGATTTTCCTTAAAAAAAATTTAGAGGGAATGTCCTGTGGAGAAAGGTAGAAGTAAGAATGAAAGCACATCTTTGCAACAGAAAGAGAATCGCCTAGAAAAGATCGCATGACAAAGAGGCCAGTTTGGAGTCAACGTCCTGGGGTGAGATAGAAGAATGAATGAAAGAAGAAAGCAGAAGATCTGCTCTGGCAAGTGCGAGGGGTAAACAGCTCTTTACAATCGGTGAAACTATTCACCGACCCCCCCCAGATAAGATTTGAAAGGGCCTCTCCCCCTCCCTTCTCCCCGAGTCCCATGGGTGTTTGCGCTGTTTGTGTTGGGGGAGGGGTTTTTCAATTAGGCGATGCCAGACCCTGTTTATCGGATGTTGTGCAAGCACTTTTGTGATCTGCCAAATTTGCACCCAGTTGAGGAGAAAGTACTAAGCGTTGAAAGAGCAATTACCGACCGCAACCATCCCAACGGTTGCAAATTGTTTTTCTTCAATTCCACAAAAGTGTTTTCCTGTTTTGCTAGTTCCCCATTTTTCTCCAGTTAAGGTAGGCAATTGTGGATCAACATTGCTTCAACTTGAAAATGTGTGACTGAAAAACAGCAGTGCATTGTGGGGAAAAATATGTTTCCTAATTCATTGCGTCACATGAAGTTTTGAAGTAGTTGGAATAAAGGGATTATGAACAATTTGGATCCATCTACATGTTCAAACACATGGCACGAACTTATATTCGTTCATCCCACCCTCCCTCCTTTATAAATACAGAGGTCAGTTTTTAACCATGATTTACAGAACTTCAATCTCGGGCGTATGACTCACATCCAGTTGGGCCTAGCTTATCCCCCAATTAAATTTCCCTCTTCCTGTATCGCCAGCCAAAACTTCAACTGCTCGGTTTTTTATCATCGTCGAGAAAAAAAGTTCCTTTCAGGGATATCACCCACTAAAAAAAAATTCAGGCTGACAAAACTGAGACAGGGACAAGGTCTGGAAATTTTGTCAGACTGCTGGCCTCATTTTGTGTCTCAGTTTAGAAAAAAAAATTTCCACATGAAAATGTGAGAGTTGAAGACTCGCGCATGGACTGCTCGGACAAGATTAATGGTGCATTCCAAAATGCTCGACAAGGTTCAGAGAGGTGATTTTACTTCTCTGTTAATTTTTCTTTTGCAGCTTGAAAAGCAGACTACCAATTGATTACTGCTATTTTAAGACTGATGGAGGACTTTCTGTTCCCCCAATGACAAACAGACGGGAGAGATCTATCTGCTTCTCAATTGCCCTAAATATAAAGCTCTTGAACTGCACGATTTCAACAAGATACTAAAACTTTAAGGGCAAGTAAGGTTTTCATTATTGATTTCCACCGAAAGCACTGTATCGGGGTCTGCAGTCAACTCTAGGCCTAGAAGTCTATTGAGACCATACTACGGTGGATGTAAGATGTAGTTTCGGTCTTGACAAGTCTGTCAAAATTGGGGGCTACCTTGGATATGGCAACTCCTACGATTGTTTGACAGAGACCAGTCTCTAAGATAAGGCCAAGTATTTCCTGCCTCTTGACCGATAATCCAAATGCATCCGATCACGAGCGCAACCCCTCGATTAGATGATGTAACAGCTGGATCCAACCTGGATCCCCCTACCCCCCAGCCCGCGACAGCTTGCCTAGATGTGCCCGGCTGAGGTTCTTCACCTTAAACTGCTCTGCACATGGATGAGCGTCCACACATGTGCTCCATGTCTTGCATGTGTAAAACCCAGAGTAATTTTCTTTTCTTCATCCAAGGCCTTCATGACTACTGAACACATGTGATGCCATCAATCTAAATGAGTCGTTTGTCGACCCAATTTTTTTTTAACAGGTTTGAAAAGAGCACAATCTCAGCATTACTGTGAAACCGCATGCTGGTACCATCTTTAGTTCCAAAAGTATGGAAATCGGAACACCAAGAGATGTGATGAAGTGATGTGATGAAGTGATGTGATGAAGTGGCCCTATTTTGGCCTGTATCTCCAAATGAAAATTCCCAACAAAGACTCATTTTGCCTGATCGCATCACATATGCGCATTTTTTTAGCACATCTTTTCGATGTTAGCTATGAATACTTGAGCAAAGGCAAGAACCAACTGACAAAATTTATGAAATGAAACTTGCGAACGAAATGTTAAGTGCCTGACACACTGCCTGCACATTAACTGCATAGTACACGTACAGCAGCAATATGTAACTTACACATTGGCCCAGTAAATCACAAATTGGGAATTAACGTAAACACATCATTTTGTCATTCATAATTTATGGGGGGTAAGATTTACTGCCACAGGTAACACCAGGCTTTACATTGCCCTTCAATGGAGATCACTCCATTTCCTGCAGGGATTTTGGCACACAATTTACAGCTAATTATGACACCCTCTTTTTCAGGAGTTTCTCACATCACTCCAGTCTAGCCCTTCATCAGCCAGAACCCCACCAAGCCGAAAGAAATTAAAGTTATTGATTTCGCAGCTTCTTTTCATTTCCTTGAACCGAGGTGCGGACTGTTGGTTTGGTATCAACACGCCTTCCTACTTCGTCTTCCAAAATCCCACACACATCAACACTTGAAAAAAAAAGAGAAGCTCACACACTCAAGATCATCTCAAGGATTTATTCACTGCATCACCTCGACACCACGGTCTTTTGTCCCATTGTTCTCTTTGCTGCCACTTTCACACCTTTCTCAATACCCGCATAACACAGTTATTTCCCCTCAAGGAATATTCAACATTATTCCCTGCCATTCTTTTCCAGGCAGAGAAAATTCCTGGCATTGTTTTTCAGGGACAAAAGAAAGCTCTTTTTGTGAACGGAAGAGCTCAACCCATCAGCATTGGGGGGGGGGGGGTTCTGAAAATTGAGCCCTTGGCTCTGGGGTACGGTGTGAACCAACAACAGAACAGGTTCTCTTTGGTTTCCTTGGCAATGACAAGTTGTTGCCCAGCAACCATTTGCACCAATTTTTTTTTTTTAAAGAGTTTCAAGTACTAGACAAGGTTTGCAGAAAGCTCTTGAGTTGCATGTGAAATTTCTGGTAATTCACCATTTTCAAGCTTTTTGTCAAAAAGAAATACTGTGCATTTTCTGCCAAGAAAAAAGGCACAACTTTTTTTAAGCTTCAATATTTCAAGCCATCGGCTTTTTACAAATTGTTCAATAAGGAATCAGGTCAGCGAATTCACCCCGTTTCAAACCGTCAAAAAATTGAGACCCAATTTTTTGTTCAACCCATACCCATTCAAAACGCTTCTCTATTACTTTCTGGAAAACTTGTCCGGACCTCCCACCACATCTGGCCGTATCCATTTCAACCACCAACACAGTTGACACAATCACACCAATCTTATAAAACATCAGGCACTGTTCTCACTTCTATATTTCCAAAACTCTGCTGTAGGGACGCAACCACAAAACCCACTGCCGCCACAAAGCAATGCACCACCAATGGTGAAAATCAACACCAGGAACCATATAATCTGATCCGCCTCCCAATTTGTTTCACTAACTCGCTGAAGTATACTCCCTGGGCTCTCTCTGCCAAAAACCAGCACACTCGCACAAAATGATAATAATATTCGGGAACAGGACTTGGAAACCCCAAGGAGCACTTAAACTTTTTTTGTAAAAGAGGTGGGGTGGGGTGGGGGGAGAAATTTGTTTTGGGACTTACCGGGTCACGGACGTTGAGGAAGAAGATGTCGCTGGTGGCGTTGGTGTTGGGGTAGACGACGTACTGGATGCGCATGTTGTCAATGTCAGCTGCAGAAAAAATGGGGCGAAAAAGGGGAAACGATAAATAACAGTTCACAAATCGTTTAAATATGCGATGCATTTCGAGTTTTAAGAAGTTACGCATTAGAAAAGTTGTAAAGTTGTAAAGATGCTTCGTATTGCACCCATCTTTGAGATGAGTGCCTTCGTTCCACGGGATACCCTGTTTTATTCACTGTTACTGAATTAAAATAATGAAAACCCCTCAAGAATTTTTTTTGAATGCAAACCGTGTGCAAAAACATGGGAAAAGCCGGTGCTGTAAATATTTTTGAATTTAAAAAAAAAAAATAGTGCAAAATTTAGTCAACATTTCTGAAGGAATGCAATTTTCAGATAGATGTAATGCAAGCTTAATGTAGCCTTACAAGTCAGGCAAAAAGAATCCCCAGAAATTAAAATTTTTTTTTTTTATGTGAATTCATTAGAATAGTATGAATAATGCAATATTGAACACCAGGTACATGTACAAGTCCTACATGGAAGTTCCTGAATGACTTGGGAATACTACGGGCCCTACCAATCGCTATGCCAACAAAACGACATCATCAGAAAAGTCAACAATGATGTCACTACATTGCTGTGTTCATTCACAGAGACATCCATTCAGTAAAGCCTGTTTGAAGTTCGGCTCTCGTGAACAAAAAAAATCCCATGCAAAACACCAGGAGGACTTAAACGGCGAACCCCTTCAGATGGAATCGATCTAATCTTTGGTATCCACAGATCAATGCCATGTCAAAGACCATTAGTGCAGAAGTCCGCACACAAGAAACTAGAATAGAAAGTTCAGTCGACATTTTGTGCACCAACTTGTACCAGGGAAAAAAATCAGCCAAAACGTAAAAGAAAAAATGTTGACTCTCTTTAGAACTATCATGATGGATTGCTTGTTTGACTGCAATGGATATAAGATTGTGGAGCAAATCGTCAAAAGGAGTTGAGAATTTGGCAGTAATGCCTTTATCTGATGTACAGTCATATAGTATCAAATATCTAGTTTTTTCAAAGTTTTGATGCCAGTTTCTTCCCATTCTTGACTTTTAAACATATTGAAAAGTTGCCCTGTACAAACACTGAAAAAAAAATATCTAAATGCATGAAGACCACACAATAAGTTGATAAGACATCTCCGTCTACACTTAAAAATAGCTATAGCCTACTTCTTTATTTGATTTCCTCACACTGAATCGTCGAACACTTTGAAAAGCTGCCCCCTCTAAAAAAAATTTGAAAAAAATTTGAAAATCGCATCAGGTGTATGTTCTAAAATAGATTTTTTTCTACACTATATTAAGATCTTTCAGATATTCTCCTAGCAGACACTAATGTGGTTTCCTTTCCCAGCCATTTTCATTCCTTGCCTTTAATTTGAACTCTTATTTAGAGGGCCCCCAACCTTCCCACTGGGCTTATGTTGTTAACACTGGTTTTCAACACAAATAACAATAAATATCCTTGGTGTCAAAAAAAAGGGGGAAAAAATAGCTACAGTTTGTTAACTTTGAACAAGACACCGGACCGCAGACTCTAGGGTTGGGCTTTTGTGGTTTTGAAAGAGTTGCAAAAGAAAAGAAAAAATTCCTAACCATTAATAAAACTGGGAACACTGGCGCTCGGCATGCCTGGCGACCAATGGAGTGCTATGTGGTTTTTCAATACATTTATGTGCAAATGCCCGCTTCTTCCCTCCGATTGGCCCAGACTTTTTTTATGAAAGCAAATAAAGCATGAGGTGGCAACCTTGGGGCAAGCAATAAATCAGACAATTTTGAGACAGGCCAGGGAACAAAATTACAAGACAAAACTACAGCAGGTCAATGCCAATAAAAACACCCTGCTTCAGACATTCTCCAGATCCAGACTTAAAACCCTCCCCTCTCTGGCTGGCAAATTCAACAAGAGCCAACTCAGCGGACAAAATCAATCAAGTGACTGTTTTCATTCAACAGTTGCATGCTTACATAAAGCAGGATCGACTGATTTTTATGAAACTTGATACAGCTCTATATGCTTTGGCTGTAGAAAATTGATAAGCCGGCTGGGACTACAAGTTAGACCCCGTTCCCACTTGATCCACCAATTGGGGGATCTGATCCACCTTTTGCCAAATTGCCGGATCAGATCCCCCAATTGGTGGATCAGATCCGGCAATTGTGTGTAGTGGGAACGCTAACCGTTATAAGGTGGATCAGGATCAGATCCACCTTTTCTGATCCACCTCTGGACCAGGATACAGATCCCCCAATTGGTGGATCAGATCCGGCAATTGCCGGATCACGATCAGATGGGAACGTAAAAGGTGGATCTGATCCGGCAATTTGACCTGTTAACATCCGCCCGGTGCACGAGTGGCGCGAAAATGTTGCGGTCTCATGAACGAAGAAACACGTTTTCAGGCGTGTAGCTCATGTGAATATTTCCAGCGTATACAACATGCACAATAAACAACCGCTGAACTACGGGCTAGCACCGCGCATGCAAAAGCGCACGTGGTAACTAAAACTACACTAGGCCTTATTTTTGTTGCGTGTTCGTCCATTACTAAACCTTTTTCATTCGTGAAATTTTACTTATTTTTCCATCCATAAATGACTCTGAGTCCGCACTCACCAAAAGACTTCACTTTGGCACAGAATCATGGAAAAGCTTACGAGTATGCGATGAGAATAGTGCCGATAACGCGGTACGTACTGAGGTGACAAATCTGAAGTATTGATTATAGAAAATTGGAAATGATGTCGTAGAACATCATGTGACCGTTTCTAACCAATGAGAAGCTTCAGAACCAGGGAATCCCTTATCGATGCATTGGTTTCTGCCGTGATGTCACACAATGAGCGGCTCTGATCTGTTGGATTTCACCTGTTAATTTATGCACGCACGGATCCTCTACGGATCCGTGATTTATGTTGGTGAATTCGCGTAATTTTTGTCGGTGAATTCTGATAGTGCTGTTTGAAAACTGACCCATCCTGGTCTAGCATGCAACCATGCAACAATGGCACTCCCACAGAGCGCGCGTAATTCCGAGCTCAGTGACCTTTCGGACCCGGCATTTCCGTACGAAAAGGTGGATCAAGCATAAGTGGGAACGCGTCTTGCGGTTTCGTTGCGGTAAGATAACGATCACACCAAAATGCAGTATCTTGATCCACCTTTTTCCAATTCAAGTGGGAACGCGGTGTTAGTTCTGCTTTGTGTCTGTTGATAGACTATGACTAGCCACTGTGCCTACATTACATGATCCAACTGTTGTGACTAGCGTGCCTAAAAGACATGGAGGGGCAAGTGAAATGAATTTTGGACTGTCTGTGACTGATCAAACTAAAAAAAAAACCTCCAATGTTACATTATTTCGGCACGGTCATTCCACACTGAAGTTGACCTATACTGATAGTTCCTATACTCTGAGCAATCTTCTCCACCCTCCCAAACCAACCGCGCAAACACCGTTTTGGAATTTCAGACCAGTGTACCCATACACAACCCCAGGCCCAGAGTTAAAAGCTATATTGGAATGACACACCATTCCCCCTTTATCCGACATCCTCCCGCAAACCAGTTTCACACCGTCTCACTAACATTTGCTCCCGGTAAGTGATTCCCTTTTGAACTGGCAATCCATTGCCTGCACGTGTTGTCTTAAAAAGCAACTCTCGCTTGCCCTAGTTTAGATTATAAACAACTCCCTGTAAAGAATCTATTATGTCCGCCATATTCACCGGACCCAGAGACCCGAGGGTGATGAACAAACAAGATGGACTGGTTTCTTCAACAATAACTCAATAATAGAAAGGGGAAAAAAACTCTCAACAGGGCGGTATTGATGTTTACTATTACATGCCAAAACCTCAAATTGCCCTTCTGAATTTCCACAACACCTGAGCAACTTATCAGACTTTAAAAAAAATAATTCAATTTGGGTCTTCTGCCACCAAAACTATAGTCAAAACATTCCCAACTTTGTGTTCATGATAGAAGACTTGATGTGGAGGCTAGGTGATAATTAATTTCGAGCATCTTCCCAGAGTTAAAAACAAAATTCAATTTGGGTTTTCTGCCACCAAAACCAGTCAAAACATTCTCAACTTTGTGTGTGCAAATTAGCTTCCCCCAGCTCCCGCAAAAAGTAATTTTGAAGCTGGGTGCTAATTAATTTCCACAACACCGGAGAGTCTTGAGCATCAGACTTACAAAAAAAAAAGATTTATTGGGGTCTTCTGCCACCAAAACTGGTCAAAACATTCTCAACTATGGTGTGCAAACGAGCTTCCTAAAAAAAAAAAAAAAAAAGCAGAAAGATAGGAGTTCATTTGGAGGTTGGGTGATAATTAATTTCCACGACACTCAAGCCTCTCAACAGATTTGAAAAAGATTTAATTCGGGTCTTCTATCACCAAAACTAGTCAAAACATTCTCAACTCTGTGTGGGTGCAAATGAGCTTCCAGAGAAGAAAAGAAGAAAGATAGGAGTTGATTTGGAGGTTGGGTGATAATTAATTTTCGGGTAATTACCATCTACCAATTACTCGCTTCCTGTGAATGACTGTGCGCTGGTCATGATAACTCCCCCCCCCCCCCCCAACCACCACCCTTCATTTTCTTGGTTTCACCTCCCTACTAGACTGGCCTTGTCCACACAAAAAGCAACTAATCACAAATTGCTCAGGCATGGTTGACCAGAACAAAGAAAATGGTCCAGTTCATTTCTGGTAACAGTAGAGGAGTTAATTAACCAGATCTAATTTGCCAAATGACCCAAGCTAGAACTACAAAAGGCTTTTATTGTCACTTGACACTTATCCAGTGGAAGGTTTGTTGTTGCTAATTTTTTTATCAGCCTGTATAAGATTACAACCATTTTCTTCCCCTGTGAATTCTGCAGAAACTTTACACTTTTGGTTTACTCATGGAGGAATAAAAACACATCAACTTTGTTCATTTGCTGACTAACAATCTGCGTACAAATCTTAGAAGCTCTTGTT